GAAGAAAAACCAAAGGTGCCCAGTTCCTAGAAGAAGAAATGAGTGCTTTTGTTCTTCATGACTCCCCTCGCCCCTGTGATGGGCAATTAATTAAGAGATTGGCAATCCAACATGTGGTGCCATTTATAATTCCACACGCTTTGACTTCATTCAGAAATGAGTATCAAGAACACTCATCTGAATCTGGGCACACAAACCGATGTCTGGGCATCAGGCACACCACGCAGTGCTGAGGGCAGCATGTTTTTCAGTAGCTTTTGGTTATCATTACATGGTTTTATTATTTTTTCTTGAGATGTGTTTCTTTTTATATTATGTAGATGGGTGTTTTGTCTGTGTGCATATGTGGGCAGCATGTGTATGCAGTGACCACAAAGGCCAGAAGAGCATGTCAGATACCCAATAATTAGAGTTATCAACTGTTGTAAATTACCATATGGGTGCTAGGATCAAACCCTGCTCCCCTAGAAGACCATTTACGTGCTCTGAGTCATCTCTCCAGCCTTTATGACTAGGGCTTGTAAAATTTTCAAAATACTTAGAATCGTCACTAAGCAAATGTTCAGAGAAGGCTCCTCAGTATTCAGTGCATCCAAACTGGGATTCAGTGCAACCTGAACTGGGATGAACTCTGGACTTGGCAAGAAAGTCCATGAAGCTTTAGTCGTTAGACTGTTAGAAACATTCTAGAAACAGAAAACTAAGAAACAAATTCAAACAAAGGATTTATTATTAAATAATGTGTCTGGAGATATAGTTAGATAAAATGCAAGGCACACACATGCATGTATATCTGTTCATATATATAAGAAAATAATTTTAAAATTTTTCTAAAAATCATAAAATGCTCTGGAGAAAGTTTTCTGTAATATGTGTAAACACTAAGAATTTTCATTCCCACCTCACAGTAAGAGTAAGGCAATTCCAAGAAAAACTCCCAAAGGGGACCCCTCTACGAAAACTTTTAGAGGAACAGATAGATCAGAAAAGTGGAAAATATTGTTTAAAGTACGCAGGAGAACTGAGGTGCTGTCCTGTGAGGTGTGCAGTAGCACTGTAGGGCTGCAGATGCCAAGGGACGATGCAAACACAGCCACGGGAAGTCCGCCTCAGGCATAAACTTAGTCAGAGAGAAGAGCTATTCTAAAACCTTGCTGTGAAATCAATTCAAAATTCAGGGGAAAAAAAACAGATCTTTAACTCAGATTGTGCTCCAAATCAAATGCTGTTGTGAAATAGAGGGAAAGAAAAACAAAAAAAAGAGGTAGAAACATCATTTAAGGAATGCAGGCCATGTAACTGCACGGGGGAAGAGTAACTTGCCTCTTGAGGTTTGCTGTCACCGTTCTTTATGAACAGTCTCTTAAGTGGCTCCAGATGACCTGGCTTCTCTTTGAATTTTGTTGATGGGAAAGAGGAAACTACTTAAAAACCGCCCAAGACCATCCACAGCTCGCATCAATAGCAAAAGGTGGTATTGGGAGAAAGAATTCCTAGAGGCATATGTCCCAGCCCAAGCCAAGTAAAGTGGGGGTGAAATGATCTGTTCACTCAAAGTTATTGTGAGACATCAAGACACAGGATTGGCTCACACCGACAATAACAAAATAGGAAGGAAGGCTCAGCACATTGTGGGAGATGGGGATATTCTATTCTATCTGAGAAAAGCATTCCCAGGACAGTATGAACTAATACTGTGAGTTCCAAACTCAGGCCCTATGTAGAGGTCAACTCCAGTCCCTGTGGAAGTCCATTAAGTGACAGCTCTCAACTAGCACATCGCCAAAGCTCTAAGAACTCAGAGAGCAGAAGCAACAATGCCCTTAGTATAGGCATGGGACAACCAAGGCAGTGGATGCTCCAGCAAAACCTAAAGAGAAGTGGCTGGGTGTCCAGAGCTGCAGAAGGTGCTGGTAGCTGCAGAATGGCAGAAGGGAGCATGCTGGGAGTGGGCATGAGGAACCACTGTGAGGTACCCTCATAGACTAGGGAGACTTTAGAAGCCACCATTTAAGACAGATTCTCTTACGTTAGCTCATTTCCATTTTATCCTCAATAAAATTTAATCTGTAGGATCAAGTGATGTCTTACGTCGCTAAAGAGTACTGATTAAGAAAAGTCAGTAAAAATGGCCTAGGGCATCACAGAGTGGAGTAGGGGGAACTCATGGGAAAGCTAGGCTTTACATAGACTGGCCACCTCTCTTCATCAGCAAAGAATTCTAATGTACATTGGAAATAGAAACACTGAGGTCTTACTCTCCTGTTTCTTTAGATTAGTGACTAATAAATCCTGGGAACACTAATGTACACTGAAGATGTAAAAGCTTGAGACTTTGGATACCCTGAGTTGCTGTCACTCAAACTGCTGTCTCTGAGCCCCCTAGCGGATCTCAGTATGTTTCCCTAGGGGCAGGAAAACCAATGGAGAGTTCACAAAATATGTTCAGTTACACACCAAATTCCTCTGAGACTTCAGTTTACTCAATAACAGAACTTAAGATAAGCACGATGGGGTAGGGGAGGGGTTGTATTAACTTTCTCAAAATTATCACCAAGGTACAAAATGTGTGGAGTATCTTATTCTTTTATGGAAATCACATCCCCTAAAATACACCAGTACTAGAAGGTTCCCAGGCTTCCAGACAGCAGACACTGAACAGAGTTGTGCCAAAGTACTGTAACCAAGGGGGCTCCGGGGGAGTGCATGGCCAACCTGCTGTCTTACCCAATGGAACTATCATTAACACGCCTTTCACCTGCTGCCTTCTCACAAGCTCATTTAAGGTCTTAGTGGCTCTGACAACGCATGTCAGAGAGACGAGGAATCACAGCCTTGGTTAACTTCGATGGATGCCTCTGTGAGCCTCCAGAAGTGGAAGGCAAAGGAACAAGACAAAGTAAAAACTAAGGAGCAATCCAAAATAGGACTAGACTGCATTCAAGAAGCATTTATGACATTTACTTCCTTGTCTACTCAGCAAATGCCCACCATGGCAAGGAAGGTGTCTCTTTTATAGACAACCATAGTATAGTATAGACGCTATACTAACTAGATCAAGACTAAAATCTCTAATTTAGGACTCAGGGCTCACTGTATTCTATGTTTTGTTTTGTTAGTTAAGGCAATTTCAGGGCATTTAATCGCTCACACTATACCATGCTACGCAAACGACTTGGTGAGCAGGTCAATATTGTGATCATAGATAGATAGCGTTCTAATTGGGAGAAATTGCATGCATGCTGGAAAACTGAAGGGGCTATACATATTTTCACTAAGGACGAGTGTTTTTTAATCCCATAAGAAAAGCAGTGTAGAAAAATAACATGTTATGATGTAGTTAACTGTCTCAGAGAAGCCACAAGTTTGTGATTGGGTGTGTGGAGGCTAGAGACCACCTCCATACCCCCTCGCCAAGGTGTGTACTCTCAACTATGACTTGTTATTACACAAAGCCTACTGAATTAACTAAGCTTTGAGCCCCTTACAAAAAGAAGTATTTCCATACATTATGTAGACTAAACTTACATGCATGCTTACTACCACCACCACCACCACCACCACCACCATCACCACCACCACCACCACCACCAACACCAACACCAACACCAAAAGCCATATATAAAAGATGAACAAAGGAAGGGCTTCTCTTTACCTTCTAAAGATTCTCTGCAATGAACTGCTAACATATGGGTAAAATGGGAAGAGACAAGAACGTCAGGAACATGAAGGAAGTCATGTGGTTTCACAATGAAGATTCCCCTGTCCCATGGGGAAGAGAGAAAGTGGAAAATGCAAAGCCCTCAGGCTCGTAGAACAGACAATGGGTTGTAAGTGGTTCTTCCCGACAGGAACACTTTCTCCCTTGAATATTGACCAGGACTGAAATAGAAAATGGTAGCCTGTGTGGGTGTATCACAGACTTCAGATTTCCTTTGTCTACCCACTAGGCAAGTTTAGTTAAGTGAGAGCTCAGCAGAGATCAGAGGTGCACCCCAGGTCCGGTAGCCTTTGTGCTGCAACACAGCTCAACTTAGCATGGGACGAGGCCCCCTCCCAGGACTTGATAGCCCAGCATTGAAATTAGAACTCACTTCGGGGAAGTTAATATGAGATTGAGACTGGACTGTGAGAATGAAAAGCTGTCAGAAAGCCTCTTCCTGCAGTGTTCTAAGCAATCCTTTAAATTACATAAATAAAAGCACTGTCACCATATTTTGGAGTGGCAGTCTCTGGGAAGGACAGATAAGTCTCCAAATATCAGGAAGAAAGGAAAGAGTTCTGATAAAACACAACCCCCTAGCACTACCCCTAACACACACACACACACACACACACACACACACACATTTAAAATATATCCATGTCTAATTCTACAGTGATTTTCTTTTGAACGTTCCTTCTACTTAAAGAGTAAAATATCTAGAGTCCTATTCCATGTAAATAAATTCAAGTTGAGTTCCTGGGAAGTTTTCCAGAGAGGTAGAGTGTCTTAAAATTGGACATGCATTAAACGAAGCTTTGTCTAACAAGAGTGAGCGAGTAACCGATATGGCATCTGTATGTTCAGTCTGCACAAGGTTCCTTTATCTGGGAAGCATTACTCAGAGACAAACAGAACATCAGATTACAGTCCTGGAGAATCATACTCGCCTGTCCTAGCAATGCTGCCAGCTCACACAAGCATCCTATGTGCCCAACCACCTGCTTCCAGAAGAATTTGTAATCTACCTGCTCCATTTCACTCTCCAAGGGCTCTCCTACTTGACCCCATGCTCCCTCCCATTCATTGCACAGCAGTCACGTTTCGTCCCTGAGACTGTCGCTCACAGCGAAGGTGGAAAGTGGTGTGCTTTCTTGCTAAGACCAAGAGCAGAAGAAGCCTTCTGCGTTGTATTGTACAGTGAGAAAACCCCCAGTGCTGAGAGTCCTCTGAACTTGAACTAAAGGGCACTGTGCAAAGAGGCTCGTTCCTGGGTGCCAGTTTCCTTTCACATTACCTGCTTCAGTGTACTTCAGTCCCACTTTTTCTTCTGTGTCCTTTGTCTTTGGGGGTGGCCAGACAGCTTGGAGTCTGCCTGGAGTCCGGTCGTCCTGCTCTGTGGGGCTCTGGTCAGGCTGTGCAAAAACAGGCAAAGAATAATTTAAGAGAAGTGTGGCCAGAGCCAATTGATTCTTGAAACCACACATCCTAACACTGATTCTAATATGGATTGTATTGGCCAGTGGCACATTGCTCCCATTACGTGTAACTGAGCTGTCTTGGGACAAGATGAACCTTTTCCTGGGAGGGTAAAGAATAAGTTGGGGTAAAAACTAAAGTTAAACACACACACACACACAAAATAAAAAAAAAAAAAACAAACAAAAACTCAAGACTACCTAACACATAACCCTTTATTTTTGTTATTTAGCTAGTTTTAAGGGCACGTGCAAACTCCAAACTGCAGAAACAAAAACAAGCGCATTATCATCTGGCACACTTATAGGAATATTTACCACTGTAGTCCAAACAAACTACGTACAGTGAGGACTAAATTTGCATTTCCCATGAACAGTAGCAATAATTGAAGACAAACTTCTCTAAGCATTCCACATGAATTTGGTTCTTTCCTATTACAAAATAAAAGAGATTGACCCCATGCTGATTTTCTTAAGGAGTTGAATTTTGCAACTAGAATGTTATGTTGTGTTTAGATTTAACTACAGTCTATGGTAACTGTTCTACAGTCTTTAATTTTTAATAGCTTAATTAAATATACAAACAGACAAGATAATCCTATACTGAATTGATGTTTGACAAGAAATTCTATCCACTGATCCCATGAACTTTCAATGCCAAACACTCCCCGGTCACTATAAATTAACTTTGAATTTCTTTGAATAAGTGTATCTTTTATGTGCTACATTCTCTTGTGCTCTGATTTCATTTACTCTTTCCATAAGTGTTAGGGCTAGCTTCTTCGTTTTGGATATGGGAAGATAGGCTCAGAAATTATCAAGGTCACCCTGTCATAAATGGTAGAGTTGGTAATAAAAGCCAGCACTCATTCTAAATTCAGTACTCAACCAGGAAGCTATATAAACAACATGGGACATTTCAGTTACATCACAAATTCACATTTTGCTAAATGGTGCACCTTCAAAGGAGAGCCTAGCATTCACAGGTATATGACTGAATGGTAAAGAAACCCCTAGAAATCTGGACTATACTTACACATCGCAGCATTTCACCGCGTTGCTAATGCTTTATAAGCACACTGACCATGGATGCTTAAACTCAGGGTGCACATTTTCCCTTCCTTCCCATACATCCACACATAGATCACACTTAATTACACTCAAGAAAAACAGAAAAGCACTTCTGTCCAACTTAGTACTCTTTTGCAAGATATTTAATATAATAATTCAATTTTTTTTTTACCCAAGGGAGTATAATAATGATGACAGGCAACTAAGATTCATTTTAACAGGAAACCTTGAAAGAAATAAAAAAAATTATAGCATATGTTATGGCAAAATGCAGAATTCAGTTCTACATACGCTTTTGGGATCAGACGGGCTGTCTGCCGGCCGTGATTTGGACCTCTCGAACACAGCGCGGAGTGATTCCTTCTCATGCTTCATCTTTCTCTTTAGAGCTTCCAGCTCAGAGGTGTCAGCTGTGCTCCCCTTTTTTGGGGGGCGGATGAATAAGGCCTTAAAGGCCTCCAGGGCAGTCTCTGGTGGCTTTGCCTTCACCTGGCCACCCTGGATGTGGGCATCTCCAGGGCTCTTGTGGCTCTCCTGGTCAGTACTATAACCCATCTCATCCGCACCATGAAACTCGGGGTCCGCTTCCTTCTGTTCAGTTCTTGGCATGTCAATGTTGAGCAGCTGAGATAGCTGTTCCAGGAGAGTGGGAGTGGCCTTCGGATCAGTTGCTCTACCCTGGCTCTTCACTGTCTGTGGGCCTCCCTGTACCAGAGACTTCTGAACAGGCTGGGTCAACTTGAGCAAAGCTAGGTCCCCGTCCTTGGGTTTGATTTCAGTGATGGTCTCCCCTGCCTCTGCGGTAGCCCCCTTCTTCAGCACACGGAGTCCACTGAAGAAAGCTGGAAGCTGGAAGGACTTCTCTCCGGGAGCTTCTCTTTTAGAAACAGTGCTCTCAAGGACACCTACAGTCTGGTCTGTTGCTGCGGGTGGTATTTGAGACCCTTCTGCAGCCTGGTCCTGTCTGGGGCTGTTCTCTGCTGGATGGCTACCATCACCACCAGGTTCCAGTTTGCTACTTGTCTCAGGTAAAGTTCTCTGAGACTCTTCAGCACAGAGTTCTGTATCATCAGTGTTCCCAGTGTCAGTATTTTCTTCGGAATCCCCTGGTCTGTCTTTGAGCTCTTGAGAAGGTTCACATAAAGCAACAGTGGTGGGCTTTTGGCTATCAAGACCTCTTCCTTCTTCTGCCTCCTGGCCTTCATCTTCGGAGTCAGAATCACTGGTGGTGTGAACCAGGGTCCCACGGACCCAAATGACTTCCTCACTGTCCACGCTCACAGTAGCAGGCGAAAGCAGCTCATAACCAGGAGAAGAGGTGTTTGATCTGGCTTTCCCCTGACTTCCCTCAGATCCTGTCTCCGCCCTTGCTGACTTTCCATCATTTTTAAGATCAGGTGGAACTGGAGCCTCTGCCTGTGGCTGATCTGAGCCTTTGCTGGGATCACCTTGCTCAGAAGCGGGATCCACCTCTAAACTGCGAAATGCCTTCAGCACAGGATCTTCCTCTTCAGGATCCAAGGAATCCAATTTATTTGTAAATCCAAACAGGGATTTCATAGAGAATTTACTCAGGATCGACTGAGCCATCTCAAGTCCGGCTTCCGATTTGTTTGGTTCCAGCACATCTCTGCTGCTGAGAGAGTTACTAACCTCCTCCATGTCCCCGCAGTGCCCTTGACACAAGTTCTGCCTTGTGTTACCTGCCCTGCTCTCTCAGTTTATCCGCTCCATCTGCTCTTGACTTACAGGACAGGGAGCGACAGTACCGGGTTGGGAGCCAGGCTTTCAGCAGCTGAGAGAACACATTTGGTCTCTTTCAGGTCACAAGCGTCCTCCCTTCCGGTTTGCTAGATGCCGGCGTGCCCAGGGCAACTTGTTAAGTCTGGGCAACTCTATGCCCCAAAGCAGCTGGGGCTGCACACCTTACTACACATGGGCAGGTACGCTGCTCTTCTGGACTTCCGTATTTACTCCCCAGGACAAAAGGCTTTTTGTCGCGGGCAAAGTCAGCCTGTCCCGTAATCCCAGCCCAGGACTTCAGGAGGAGCTCCGCCCCAGAGCCTACGATTCTCCTGGTCGCAGTCAACTTCCTCATTGGTGAGCAAGTTGAGGTTTTTAAAAGTGCTGAGCCGGCAAGCTGGTCCGGATAGCCCTGAACCACCCCCTGGTGCAGCCCAAGAGATTCCAAAGTGAATCAGCAGAAAATGACTAAAGTGGGCCCTCTTTTCCATCGGATGGAAATCAAAGGCCTGGGCCAGCGAGGCCCTAAACCCAGCAATTTGCCCACATCAACAGCCTCTTAGAAACCCTTAATCAAAGACCGGAAGTAAAGAAAAAAGATCCTCTCAGAGTGCCCACAACTCTGAGAGCAGTTAATTTACTATCCTTGGAATGTCTTTTGTTTTTAAATGCTTTCCTTCAGCTAGCTAGCAGGTTTCATCTGGAATGCAGATTTTCTCTGACTGCTGGGAAGGAAAACCAACTAGACTGGTTTCAGGTTACAGCTGTTTTAGCTCTGCCCTGCCTGGGTGTCAAACAGGTACTTAGACAAGCACGCCCACCGCACCCAGTGTCCACCTACGAAAGGGCAGCAAAATAAACAGCCCCAGCCCTGTAGGGATGATTACTGTCTTGGGTTGTGGACTAACTTCAGGTTTCTTTCTGTTCCACAGCAGTGACTCCTCTATGAGTTAGGAATCCTGGTGGAGGGACTCCTGTCTGGTTTGGTGTTGCAACCAAATTAAGTGAACCTGGCATGGCACGATTTTAGCCCACAACCTGCCTTCTTAGACAGTCATTCACCATTCACCGGAGATCCTCAACGACCTATATTTCTCTAAAGGTCTAAAATATCTATCAGTTTGGTTTCCACTGCCTATTTTGTCCAAAATAGCAAAAACAAAGAAACCCAGCACGGGTTAGATGAAACGCCATTCTGATTACATTCTGCAGCCGGGAAGTATGAAGATACGGAGTAGGGCAATCAAAGATGCCTAGTTACCGTAGGACAGCTTCCTGACAAACCCAGAGGTCTGAGGAATTTTGGTTGCAGTAATGCATTTTTAGCAATGTATACTGGAAAAAAAAGAAAAGAAAAGAAAAAGAAAAACAAGAAAAAAAAAGAAAACACAAATTAAGGGGGGGGGGGTGTTTATTCCTACAGGAAATTACAAACCCTAACTGATTCCGACGCTGACGTTTTGGGAGTACTAAGAGACGAAACTTTGACTGATATGGTGCTAGGAATGTAGCTCAGTCATCAAAAAGTGTGCCCAGCAAGGACAAGGCTCTGGGCTCAACCCCAAGCACAGCAACACAACAAAATTAAACAAAGCAAAGTAAATACCGGGGCAGGGCAAAAGAAAAGAAAGAAAGATCTGTTGGTGCCATTTATATCTCTGAATAAAGCTTCCGCTCTAGAGGAAATGCCCGCTGATAAAAATCTGACTTCTCTGAGGCTGTGGAAAGAAGGAATCACCACTCCAGTTTCATGAGCTACACACATAGATCACAGGACTAGGGAGGAAGACATAGCTTGCGTACTTGGTGTTTTCCTTCTCTCTGAGGATGATTCATTTGTTCAGATATTTGTCCAGAGTAAGTTTTCAGACATCTTAACAGACTTGGGCAAAAATATAAGCTGGAACGGTTCCTTAGTTCCTCTACCATGTAGTGTCTACACCACAGCAGTGGGCAGACTTACAGGGCTCCAGCATTGCCCTCATTATCCATGGGAGCAACCCAGTTTCATAGAAAATGGATCAGGAGATTGTTGCATTGACAGCCTTCTGCTCTAGGTAGTAAGGCTTCATTATAACTTATTTTAAGTTAAGAAATCAAAGTCAAGAGAAGGTAACTGAGTA